AAAAAGAAAAAAAAAAAAAAAAAAAAGAGTGAAGAAAAGAAAAGGAAAAGAGAAAGGGAAGCATCGGTGCCAGATTCCTGTAGCGAGTCCAATCAGTCCTCGGCCACTCTCAGATCTGCGAGTCTCTCTGTGGGTAACTCCGTCTTATGAATGCTGCTGCAAATTCAATGTTCAATTCCCAATTCGCGTTTTCAAATTCTCAAAGTTTCAACGGATAAACTGTATGAGATCTGAGGGGAAATAACATGCGTAAATAACACCATCACCACCGTGAACGCGATCCAATCTCCGATGTCTTGTTTAGCGCTTTCCCTGCAACCTGCAAATGGATCCGACATCCTGCTCCAGACGCGCGAGTGGTTCCCTCCCTCACGCGCCCTCGGCGCCCTTTCCGCCTTCCGCCAGACGCGCCGCGCCTTCGCCGCCAACAAGCACTCCACCCCTGACGACGCCTACGCCGCCGAGTCCATCGGCGATGATCCCCTCGCCGCTTCCAGCGGCCAGGTCATCGTCGGCGTCGAGAGCCGTTACCGCGTCGTCTACCGCCTCGTGAACGGCATCTATGTCCTCGGCATCACCGTCGCCGACCACGACAACTCCGTCAACGTCTTCGAGTGCATCCACATCGTCAACCAGGCCGTCAGCGTCGTCGTCACTGCCTGCCGCGGCGTCGACGTCACGCCGGAAAAGCTCAGCCGCAAGTACGCCGAGATCTACATGGCCCTCGACATCGTCCTCCGCGGCGTCAGCAACATCCGCCTCGCCGCCATGCTTGCCACTATGCACGGCGAGAGCATCGCCAAGATGGTCCACTCCGCCATCGACACCGAGAACAAGATCCGCGGCGCCGAAACATGGCCCTCCGCCGAGGTGCATTCCCTCGAGCACCAGGCTGGCATCGACGCCTTCTCCAAAGCCACCTTCGAATTGCCGCCGGAGACGCTCGAGGCCGGAGACGAAGTCGCTGCCAGCCTCGCCCCCACCGCGGCAGAGCCGCAGGAGGAGCCCCAGCAGAACCAGGAAGAGTCTCAGGCGGAGAAGGATCCTTTTGCAGCGAGTGATGCAATTAACAAGCCACAAGAGCTTGTTGAAGGATTCAAGAAAACAAGGGACCCTTCTGCTACTGATTTAACCACAGCGTTGGAGGGGCTTGATGTTACCACATTGCCACCTCCTGAGGCTACTCAATCTACGCATATAAATGTGGAGGGTTTTGAAGGGAACTACGGTGGAGTTGAGTTTGGGCAAGAGCAAGCTTCTATTGGAGAAGCTTTTGAAGGTTTCAATGATGCCTGGGGTGGTGGACTTGATCCTTCCGAGTTTGTGGGTCCAACCAAGCCTAAGAAGCCACAAGGGCTTGGTGGGGTTGAGTTGTTGCAGACTGGGCCTGATGCTGCTCCTAAAGCAGGGGGTGAGAGTGGTGCAGGAACTCCACTTGAGAACTTGGTAACAAAAACTGAGATGAAGGGTCCTGAGATGTATATCTCGGAGGAGATTAGTGCCGAGTTCAGGGAATCGTTACTTGCTAGGGTGGGGTTGATGGGTGTTGTTTACCTCAGAACTTTGCCGCCAAAAACTGCTGGTGATAAGGAAACTGAATTTTCATTCCGGGTTGAGGGAACTAGTGCTGTTAAAAGATTTGTTATACAGAGTTCGCGAGTTAGTAGCGTTGGTAATGGGCTGTTTCATGTGAGGACTGCGGCCTCTGAGGAGCCGATACCAATTATAAAGTATAGTCTGGTTCCTAGGTTGACACCTCTGCCTTTGAGGGTTCGACTTACAAAACGGCATACTGGGAGTTTGCTTTCTGTTATGATACAATATGCTTCAAACCCTGAATTGCTTGCTCCTTTGCATGATGTTACATTCATTCTGAGACTGCCTGTTGACCCGACACTGTTGAAGGTTTCTCCAAAAGCTGTGTTAAATAGGTCTGAAAGAGAAATTAGATGGCTTGTGCCAGAGATTCCGTTGAAGGGCTCTCCTGGCAGATTGAGAGTAAGGATGCCAGTAGATTCTAACGAAGATGATGAAGAAATTGAGGTGGTTGGTTATGTGAAGTTTTCTGAACAAGTAACTCAGTCATTGTCTGGAGTTTCTATACGGCCTGCTTCAGAGGGTAAGACAGACTTCTATGAGGTTAGTGACAGACTTGAGAGTGGGGTATACATGTGCAATTGATTTTGTAATCATAGATGATTATTAGGGGCTGTACTTTTTCATTTTGTGTTCATGAGATTTATGGTTTGGTTGTGTTTATAACATTCTTGGATGTTGATCATGTACCTTGAACTATGGAATCATCTGAAAATCTTTGTCTGTGTTGTGGCTATGAATTTACATCAATGGATTGTATTTGGGCTTACCAATACATTACTAGAAAGAGTACTTACTAATACCTTCTGGGGATATTAACAGTAACAAGAAATTATAGATCCTTGAAAAGCTTGTGTGAAGTGCTGTTGTTACGTGCTAGTATTAACCCGTGCTGCATTTTAATAATTCTTTTGAATGAATATTCATGAGGCATATACAGAAGACACAAAGTAATGCTTTAATATTTAGATTGGATCAGAAAAATTTCAAAACTTTTTATTCTATGAATAACTTTATTAGATGAACACTAGGCAATGGATTACTAGAAAGTACTTGCTAATACCTTTTAAAGATATTAACAATAACTAGGAACTATAGTTCTTTTAAATTAGCATTCCCGAGACATACATATATACATAGTAGACACAAATTGACACTTTAATATTTAGATTGGTTTAGAAAAGTTTTGTAAACTTATTATTCTTTGTATCACTGTAGATGAACACTAGGCAAAAGGGTTTTGCTTTTTGGATTGGGTAATTGTTCCGATACACCTACAAAGTGTCATATTGCTTAGAAATCAAGATTAAAGATAATTTATAAGCACTTTCCTTCCTTAACCAATTATGTCTCATTTTAAAAGACAATTGTGAGGCTCTCATGAATGTTAAAACAGACAATACCTATGATACATTGACCCTAATGATGGAACTATTGGAGATTTAAGTTAGTTCCAAACTCACATTTTTAATATGACATCAAAGCCTATTCTAACAATTGTTGTTGGGCCTATTAGACCATTTGTAGATGTTCAGTTCTACAAACTTCATACTTGAGATGTCTAGTCCTCAATAGGAGGTATGTGTTGGAGATTCCCACATCGACTAGTAGTATAGTCAAGTGTATATAAGTGAAAATAATTATCGCCTTACAAGTTAGTGTTGTAGGATTGAATTAGGCCTAAATCTACATTTTTAAGACTAGCAAACTTGAGTTTAGAACATTGATTCTAAAAGGAGGGCCTAGGAATCAAACGTGGGTAGTAAGGTCCTCTAGCTCCTTAGCCTCAATTTGGGGGCTATATTTTGGTAAACCAATAAAGTCTTATATCGATTAAGAGTTGAGGTCAAGGGTAATTTATAAATATCTTCCTCTTTTAACTCAATAAGGGCTAAGGTGCTTTCTGAGAGGCCAATACGAGTACCAAAGTAGACAATACTAGGGTAGCGCCAAGCAAGGTATATTAAATTTGAAAATAGTCACTTTAACACATGGTTTGGTTTAGGTTAAAAAGAAAA